GTAGTCTAAAAAGCTAACAATGTTAGAAACCATTAGGAAGGGGATCGATAATAAACCAGAAAATATAATTCCACTGTATAAATCCATGGTACACCCACACCTTAAGTACTGCATGCAGTTCTGGTCACCACATCTCAAAAAAAGATATTAGAATTTGAAAAGGTGCAGAGAAGGGCAACAAAAGTGATTATGGGTATGGAAGTTTCCATATGAGGAAAGATTAAAAAGACTGGGACTGTTCATCTTAGAAAAGAGATGACTAAGGTGGGATATGATAGAGGTTTGTAAAATTATGAATGCTATTCACTTTCTTCATAGGGAAGTATTAGTTACCATTTCATCATATAACACAAGAACTAGGGGTCACCCAATGAAATTAACAGGCAACAGGTGTAAAACAAACTGAAGTACTTCTTCATAGTCACCTTGTGAACTCATTGGCAGGGGATGTGAAAGCCAAAAGTGTAATGGGGTTCAAAAAAGTATTTGATAATTAATGGACCTATCCTCCATGAACTTGCTATTAGCCAAGTTTGTCAAGGGTTTCCATAAACCTTCAAATGTCAGAAGCTGGAATTCGACAACATAGGATTGATCACTTGAAATTGCCCTGTTCGGTTCATTCCCTCTAAAGCATCTGATACCAACCACTGCCAGAGACAGGATTCCAGCCCAGTATGGCCACTTTTATGTTCAAAATGGGTCAACAAAATGGCCAATTACGTAGATAATCAACATTGTTAATACTACACTTACAATTCAGTTGATAACTGCTCTACTTAGGTATGGAATAAATTTACAGGTGGGCCCAAACCATAGCTATCTAGCTGAACCATGCTGCTCACCTTCCCTCTGATCTTTGAGGGCTTGGATAAAGTTAGACCGGAATCCAAACCAGCTCTGGGTTTGGTTTGCAAAGGTAAAACCCTATCCTGCAAAACCATTGTTGCTTTCACCCATCTCTACAACTGAGCCAATAAATACTACTACTTATATAGCACTATAGATATGTACAGCCCTGAACATAGGACAGCTGTGCTCAAATAAGACCCTGGTTCCCTGCCTATATGAGTTAAAATTCTCCTCTACCCCATGCCAAGCCTGTGTTGCCAGACTTGGCATAGGGGGCTTCTCTGGGACTGGGAAGAAGCCATTCTCTTCCCCAGATTCCAGAGTACTGTAGTAGCAGAGCCACTCCATGATTGCTACTGCAGAGCCTACTAAACTCCAGTGCTTCTGCTCCATCAGGGGACAAGGGTGGGCGGGTGAATCCAGATAGAGGAGGAGTCACCAACACTGTTGTCTGAGTAAATGCTTTTTAGAGTTCAGGCTCCACAAATCCTCTCTCCCCTCTGCCCAGTGCAGTGTTGGGTTCCACATTGGTTCCTGTGGAGCACGGGGCAAGATTTGCCCTTCAGGACATGTTCTGTACCATACCAGCTTAAGAAATATGATGCCATATAGAAGCAGGTGGTCATTGTAGCAGAAATTGATGTTAAATATATTTCCAGTGCTATCTGTCAACAAGCTATTTAAGGCTTGTCTCTATATTTTTATCCTTCCTGCCGGTCTGAGTTTCTGGATGATTATTGCAAATTAATGATAAAGCTAATAGCAAAATAGACTTCCTTCCAGTGGCTGGAAACATGTATTTTGGAAACATGTTGCTCCAACAGTTTATTGCAGCCAGAAATTAAGGATTGCAAGAATCAAATCATGCTATTTATGTATTAGACAAGAGACAAAGGAACAGACGTTCCTGCTACCATTTCAATAAAAGGAATGACTCTAATCATGTCATTAAGGCCTATTTTAGGGGTAAGTAAACAAATGTAAGTAAAGTAACCAGGGCAGATGAACTTATGTTGGTTCTTGTGTGTAATACCACTACAGATTTTACGTGATGTGGTTTATGCTAGTTTTAGTTTAAAAAGTAGTAGCCCCAATCCTGCAATCTTTATGCCAAGTTCAGTCCTGCAAGGTGCTGAGCACTCATTAATTTTCATGTGTTGGCCCAAGTATTGGCACACTGTCTATTCGCTTGCAAAGGCTAAACCTTGTTCGTTTAGAGATTTCCTTAACAAAAGTGTTTCATGCCTAGGTAATAGTTGGGTGTCAATGCATGCATTGACTACAGACAAAAGCTTTTTTAAGCTCCTATCCTGCAAGCAGTTGGATTTACATACATCACTCCTAGGGTTACCATATGTCCGGATTTTCCCGGACATGTCCGGCTTTTGGGGGCTCAAATCCCCGTCCGGGGGAAAATCCCCAAAAGCCGGGCATGTCCGGGAAAATCGGGAGGGAGGGCTCAGCCGGGGCCTCTTCGGCCGGGGCCGGTGCGG